CTATGGTGATGAAGGAAGAAGTTCAAGCTGCTTTGAAGGAAATAGCAAAAAATAAGGCCCCAGGAATAGATGGTACATCAATTGAAGTATTTCAGCTAACAGATGCTGCCCTGCATGTGCTCACCAAGTAGTGCCAAGAAATCTGGAGAACAACCACTTGGCCAACTGACTGGAAGAGATCTTTATTTGTTCCCATTCCAAAGAAGGGTGACCCAACTGAGTGTGAAAACTACAGAACAATATCATTTATTTCACATGCAAGCAAGATTCTACTGAGGATTATCCAAAAACGACTGGAACAGCACATCAGCAGAGAATTGCCAGAAGTCCAGGCTGGGTCATGGTACTAGGGATATTGTAGCTGATGTTAGATATTAGATGGATCTTAACTGAAAGCAAGAAGTACCAGAAGAATGTCTATCTGTGTTTCATTGTATACAAAGGCATTTGACTGTGTGGATCATACCAAACTGTGGCTGACTCTGAGAAGAATGGGAATCCCAGAACATTTAATCGTGCTAATGCGAAACCTATACTTGAACCAAGAGGCAATTATCAGAACAGAGCAGGGTAACACTGCATGGTTCAAAATTGGAAGGGTGTACGCCAGGGATGTGTCCTGTCTCCATACCTTTCAACCTGTATGCAGAGCAGATTATCTGGGAGGCTGGGTTCTATGAGGAGAATTGTGGTGTCAGGATTGGTGGAAGATCTATTAACAATCTGCGTTACGCAGATGACACAACCCTGCTTGCTGAAACTGAGGAGGACCTCATGCACTTGCGGCAGAGGGTCAAGGACTGCAGCCTTCAATATGGACTGAGGCTCAATGTCAAGAAGACAAAGATTCTCACCACCAGAAAAACTGGTAGCATCAGGATGGATGGCGAAGAGATTGAGATTGTTCACAGCTTCAGTTTGCTCGGCTCCACGGTCAACACTTGGCACCAGCAGCCAGGAAATCAAAAAACGTATTGCGATGGGAAATTCTGCTGTTAGGGACCTCTCTAAAGTACTCAAGAGCAACGGTGTCTCTCTGGAGACTAAGGTGCACCTGATACAGGCCATGGTCTTTGCAATCACTTGTTATGCATCAGAGAGTTGGACAATGACTAGGGAGGACAGAAGGAGGATTGATGCCTTTGAGCTGTGGTGCTGGAGAAGAGTATTGAATGTATCATGGACTGCCAAGAAAACAAACTGATTCATCCTGGAGAGGGTTAAACCAAGCAACGCCTTAGAGGCAAGGATTCTAGGGCTTCGTCTGATAAACTTTGGGCATGTTGCAAGGAGGGAGAGGTCTTTGGAGAGGGACATCATGCTTGCGAGGGTTGGAGGGATGGCGCAAGAGGGGAAGACCCTCCATGAGATGGACTGATTCAGTAACTGGGGTAATTGGGATGGGTGTGTCAGAGGCAATGCGACTGGCACAGCATAGTGCAGGGCTGTTGTACATAGGGTCACTATGAGTCGCAAATGACTCGACGGCACATAACAACAACAACAACTAGTATAGTAACAGTGAAAGGCCATCCTCATTTCCCCTCAACACCCTAACTATGGACTAATACAGGACAGTGCAGGGTTTAGGGCTGTCGTACATAGGGTCACTATGAGTCGCAAATGACTCGACAGCAAATAACAACAACATCTAGTATAGTAAAAGTGAAAGGCCATCCTCATTTCCCCTCAACACCCTAACTATGGACTAATTCCTAATGAATTTAATGTTCCTTATTAAACCATTTCCAACTATACTGCTAGCCTTGTTTTTGTTGTAGACTACCAATTCTCAGACTATAGATGACAAATATTCTATTGCTCTAATTTGCTCATTCATGTACATACAAGAAGTAGACACAATCCCTGTTTCTTCATGACAGCAGTTTAGGAATATGGCTATAATTAAGGTGAAATTGAAGATTAATAAACAGATCCAACTGTTCTGTTTCTACATCCTTTTCTTCGACTATATAACGTCTTCTATCTAGATTACCAGCAAAGTGTAAATCATTATAAAAGAGCAATGAGAAGTACTACACTTCAATTCTAAGATGTTGACCCCAAGCAAGGCAGTGTGTATTATAAAAGTGATTTCAGTATGATACTTGGTGGAATAATCAAAATGATCCCCTACACACACTACAAGTACCTCTCCCAACTCCCACATTTTCTTCCCCTAGGAAGAAGGAAGAAAGAAGGTGGGAGGAGAGATGCTCCTGTGGAAAGGATACAGAACTCGTCAGTGGGACAAGTAACTCTTTCCCTGTGAAAGTAATGAAGACAAACATCTGGGGAAGAATGCCAAACCCAACTTTGACATTAAAGGGGGTTCCAATATTGCGTAGCGCCCAGAGAATGAAAACAAGAGGAACAGGAGAAAAGAGGAATGTTCCACACACTGTAATTTTTAGATAACATGCAAAGGGTTTATGAAGGAAGCAAGTATATAATGAATGACGTACCTTTTATGCTTTGGGTAAAAAAAAAAAAAAAACTCCCACAAACTGAATTAGGATGTGGGGCGAAGAAAAGAGGGTCCACATTCCCCAGGTTGCCCTCACCCGCCAACCCCATACCCTCGTTGCTCTTGTTCAGCACGTTCAGGCAGTCCTTGGCTTCTACATATTTGGTCTGTACCACCTTGAGCTGGGCAATGGACGTAGACAAAAACTCCACTTCCTGCAGAAGACGGGGAAAGTCAGTATAGAGGCTTGAGAGAGGAGCACAACCAGAGAGGGGGTGAATCTTGGGACATGGTTGGGGGTTTTCTTACAAAAGCCTCCTCTACTGGGGAAAAATAGAGGCGAGGGAGAAATGGAGAGAATCGTGAGCAGTAGGGATATAAGGCAGAAAAGGTATGTCTTAGAGGGCCGTTCTCACCTGGTCCAGCTGGTTCTTGAGCATTTCTAGTTGTGGCAGATTAAGCTCCGTGATGTTAACCGACTGCGCCATGTTGGGAAGGAGGACTAACGAAGGAAAGCCGGCCCACACAGGCAACGCTCTAGCCGCCAAGTCTCTATGGCTGCGCCTGGAGGCCTCATCGTGCCAGACATCTCTATGATCCTCTGAGATGGAAGCCAAGGAGATTCTGGCACCTTTCCCGGGTTCGCCTTTGATTAGAGAAATTAACAACGTGCCTTTTTATAAAGTAGCCTAAGCCTAACACAGCAAAAGGGAGTTAGAAGGCTGGGCAGTTTACAACCTCGGAAACTCAACGTAGTGAACCGACTCGATGGTTGTGAGTTGAACGCAGAGAAAGGGAGGTCGGCTAAGTGTAGTTCGTAAGGAGTTGTGTTGCCAACCTAAAGACTGCGTATCTCCCGTGGTTCTAATCCATCAGCGGCACCGTGGGAGACAGATGAGCAGTCTCTTTCCATTGCGATTTACAGCTTGGTATCTGACATAGTGAGGCTCTTACAGACTTTGGGCATGTTGTAAGGAAGGGTCAGTCTTTCGAGAAGGACATCATGCTTGGAAAGGTGGAGGGTCAGCTTGAGAAAGGAAGACCCTCAATCAGATGCATGAACACAATGACTAACAATAAGCTCAAGACAGGGCAAGATTCAGAGCCGTTGTTCTTAGGGTCACTGTAACAAACCACTAGGGGGCAGTAGGTTTGAGCCCAAATAGGCCTCCTGCCTTCTAGGAACCTAAAGCGTATTTAAGTACCCAACACATAACCACAATATTTCAAAGCACTGTATGCTACTTGACGTGGGTGGTAGATATTCAAGGAGGAAGTTCTTAGATTTGTGCATATTCTGCTTAGGCAATAGGCACAATGGATCTGAAAATGCTGGAGGTGTGAGGATGGTGCCAGACTTGACATTATTTTGTCCTGCTGTATTAAAGTTGCCATGAATGAATGAAACTGATGGCAGCTAACATACATTATTATTAATCACCATGTTCAGAACTCACTCAGCTACTCAGAACCAACTCATAGCTAACACTTCATTGGGTTTCCAAGGCCGCAGGTCACATAGGAGACTGCTTATCTTTCTCTCCTGGAGCAGATCAGACCACCAGAGCAGCAGTCTTTGGGTTAGCAATGAACTCACTAAACCTCCAGAGCTCCCTAAAATACAGCTGTTGTTAGGCACACTGAGTTCGAATCATAGTGACCCTATGAACAACAGATCTGAACCCTGCCCTATTCGGTGCCAAACTCACAATCTCTAACATACTTGAACCTATTGTTGCAGTTACTGTCAATCTATCAGGTTGAGGGTATTCCTATTTTTGTTGTATGAGATCACCACCCAGTTTGTCTTACTGCGGCCCCTTGCATGTTGCTGGGATGTTGAAAGCTATACCACTGGTGTTTTAATATTAGCAGTGTCATCCATGGTAGGCTTTTGCAGAGCACTCAGACACACTAGAGGGACTTGGTAATGGGCTTTTGAAAATAAATCAAGAAAAACTTTTTGAATAACAATGTAATACTGTCTTGACTCTCTTGCTTTGGACATGCATGTCATCATTGATCCATCACTGAAGAAGACGTATTTGGTAACACAGGACTTGGCAATATCTTGTATTATTGTAAATAAGGTTGTTGTTGGAGTAGACTTGACGACAGCTAACACATACGTATAAATATACATGAAAGATACATGAGCATTTAAGATGCTAGTTAAGCTTTAGAGGAACTTACAGTCTAGTTAGGAAGACAAAGCTACAAACGTAAGAATTCCACAATCTAGTGCTAAAGATTAAACTCTAGGAGCCTAATGAGTAAGAAGTTGCCCTGCTAACCCAAAGTTCAAATCCACTAGTGCCTCCACAAAAGAAAGATGAGCAATCTCCTTTCCTGTGATTTACAGCCTCAGAAAACCCCCTGAAAGGGTTTTCACTCAGCTATGAGTTGGTTCTGACACTTTCATTGAACCTGTCTATCTTTCCTTGGGCCTCTGTCTCCGTTTAAGAATATTCTCAAACGTCTCTCTCCTTCAGCTTTGTCTCCTGGGGCCTATCTAAGCCTGTTCTGTTTTGTGGTTTGGTCTTTATTATTTTGTGTGTGTTTACCGTCAAACTGGATCTGACTGATACAGGAGGAGATTGTCCCTCCTTCTCCAGCAAAGCATCTGGTGGATTTGAACCATTAGTCTCTGGGATTGCAGTGCAGCTTCTTGCCAATAGGCCACTAGAGCTTCTTTGTGTTTGGTCTTTCTTGACAAAGCCTTCACACTTAACTCCTGAAAGCTGTTCCAGCAACTTAAGTACCATACAGTAGGGGTAAAGCAGCAATCTTGTCTTCAGATGTTCTCAGACAGTTAATAAAAGTGTTTAAATATCTTTATTATTTTACAATTAAGTCAAAAGGAAATATTTACTAAAAAACAATGGAGAAAATCTCTTGAAATAATCATCCTAAGGGCTGAATCTTAAGTTTGGAGATCTAACAGTCACATGCCTTCTATCAGAGACATATAGATCACCGGAGGGAGACAGGCAAGCCATAGGCTACTGGTGCAGCTCCAATAAGATACTTGAGTCGAGGAGCCTGGCGAGCCTGGCTAATGTAGTAGAGAAGGGGGGCCCCTGGGCCTGCTCCAAGCCAGCCTTGCAGGAGAGCTGCTGTGTAACGGTCAATATCACGGTCAGTCACATCCCAGAGGTTACCCAGAAATAAGGGGCTAGGAAGAAAAGGAAGAAATCAAAATAAGTGTTCTGAAATAAAATACATAGGAAAATATGGTGAATAGAGGAAGACAGAACTAATGAAACAAACTCCCTTAGCCCATAGAGTTAAAGGTCCAGGCATGCCAAGGAGCTAAGAGTAGTGTTCAAATCTAGGAAAAAACCTGGAGTGGGAGCAAGTCTTAATGCCTAGGATGAACATGGTCTCTTAAGACTCACCAGCCAGCCATGATGTACTTGAGCACGATGCCAGCCCCCTCCAGGCTTCCATGAACAGCAAGTGCTGCACTGCTACAGCCGAACAGCAGAGCCACTGCCCGACAGCTCAGCCGCAGTACAGCTTGTCCATCCAGAAAACGAGCACCAGCTCCGTGCCCTGCATAGCTGTGGTAGAAGAGGGTGAGGCCTACCAGTACCATGTCTTTGCCCCAAGGGTTTCCTGTCCTGGAATGCTCTGCCCCCACCTCCCTCCCTGCCCTAAGTACTCACATATATAAATCATGATCCGTTAGGGCTGCTTGTACCTGTTCCGGGCTTGGGACCTTACCAACTACTCCTTTCCAGCCAACTTCACTGTGGGGAAAAGTTAGGAGTAAGAGGAAGGAACAGCTGGGGTTATATGACAAAAGACTAGATAGAAGGTGGTGACAGCATAATTTTGAAGGACATGTTTCTACCCTTTTCACCTTCCTTTCTTATTCTCAGTGCCCTGACCTGCTAAAAGTGGCTCGAAATTGCTCCTCTGTACTTGATAGGTTATTGTGAGGGTTCAGGACATAAAAGGTACTGCGTGGATCAACGCCTTGGCTCAGCACTGACGAGGCCCTGGACTGAAGAAGAAGACAGTCATGATCAGGATCCTTGGTCTAGTCGGGAGGCTGAAGCTCCTGAACACTACAACCCTTTCCATTTCGGAATCATGTAGCTCTGCTTCTTTTCTTTCAGGTCTCCTTCCCAGCCCACCCCTGAGCTCTACCTCTTTGGTGATGGAATAGGTGAGGAGGAAGCGAAGGGAGGGCAGACGGGTGACAGGTCGTGTCCGAAGAGTGGGCATGCTTTCCCATGGCAGCTTCTGCAGGTCCTAGGCAAAAAGCATTCAGAGGTTACTGTTTCTAGCCAGGCTACATAACAGACAGTAGAAGCATGCGGTAGAATAGCAACACCTACACCTCCAGCTTCTAGCTCCTTACTTTGTCTAGCACCAAGACAAGGTGCTTATTGCTTGGCACCGTCAGACCCTGCAGACGTCCCACTGCCTCACTCAGGAGCTCTCGGGCACGTTCGGGCTGGGCTGGGCACAGCCCATAGGCCAGGGTCTGAATGTCTTGCAGAGTGAGATCACTGGCACCATTGAGCAGGACCTGCAGGCAAACAGTGATTAGGGAGTCCCATTACCCACTCACAGGGGCTTTTGTGCTGGTGGAAAAAAATTAAATCCATAGGCTGACTGCTACTTCCCCTCCCTGCTTTTGTAACTCACTTTTAGCAGAGTGAGATTGGGAAATTTCCAGCCACATTCCTGCAGCAACTCCTGTAAGCCAGACGCCTCCTGGGCAGGGCCTGGGTCCTCAATGGATGGCAGCAACAGGCCACGCCAGCAGCCCAACGCATACTTCTCTAGGGATGTGATGAGAACCTAAATGCAAGAGAACAAAATCTTTAGTCAGAGAACAAGCTGTGTTTCTTTCCTCCTAGACACCAACATTCTAGAAATAAGGAAGTGGCTTTTCAAAGGTGTACATTTCTCTTGTGTAATTTCCTGCTAGTCACACACGGCAAGAAGCTAGAAATATCCATTTGCTGGGACTCTGAAAGATAAGACCATTATTTATTCTGATATTTTTATAAATGTAAATTGGTTGCTGTCAAGTCAATTCAGACACATGGCAATTCTGTGGATATCAGAATAGAACTGTGCATCAAAGTCTTCACAGCTGTGACCTTCCAGAAGTAGATCACTAGGCCTTTCCTCTGAGGCACCTTGGGGTGGGATCAAACTGCCAACCTTTAAGGTAATAGCCAAGCAAAACTTTGTGCCACCAATGTGGGAAGCCAAATATCAAATTAAATATTAATCGAAGCGAGCTCTGGTGGCCTAGTGGCAAGAAGCTGCACTGCAATCCCAGAGGTGAGCGGTTCAAATCCACCAGATGCTTTGCTGGAAAAGGAGGAACAATCTCCTCCTGTACCAGTCAAATCAGATTTGACGGTACACACACACACTAAAAATAAAGTAAAAAAAATATTAATAGAAATGATAAACCAAATGCTATATCAGAATATGAGGGAGTCGCAAATACAAGCTGGAGTTCCTCCTGAGACAGGCCACAGGGGTCAAGTGCCAAGGCAGACCTTCATACATCTTCATAATTCTTTGGATTGTATTTGCAAACCCTTCCCTCCTGAGTCAAGCAAAAGGATGTCAATAGAACGGAGCTCTGATAACCTAGTGGCAAGAAGCTGCACTGTAATCCCAGAGGTGAGCGGTTCAAATCCAACAGATGCTCTGCTGGAGAAGAAGGGACAATCTTCTCCTGTACCAGTCAGATATGATTTGACAGTACACATACAAAAAAAAAATTTTTTTTTTTTAAAAAGGATGTCAATAGGATTCTCTTTGTGATTTGCAACCTGACAATTTTCAATAAAGTTACAGGGAAGCTAGGTTCAGGGCTTCAGTCTTTGAGCTGTTTGACCTCTGCTTTTTTTCTCCATTCTTGGTGTCCCCATTATCCTTACCTTCAGCTGACAACACACCCAGGTCAGCCTGACAACAAGGGAGGCAATAAAAATTAAAGTTGGGAAGGAAGCTGATACCTGGGCTTAAGGTTTACATTCTTTCTTCTTTGTATCTTTAAACATTCCTTTCTTTATTTCATCAAGTGTTGGACTCTTGATTAAAGCTCTCCCCAAGTAACATAATTTTTAATTTTTGACTTATTTATCCCAAAAGCACATGAGGCAGCTCATCATTGACTAAGATCCCCAAGGCTTAGTCCTCTGGGCTACTCTTAGATGTGTCCATTCCCAATCCACAGGAGGAAAAGGGGTAGAAAACATACCTCCATCCTATGATCCAGTTCAAGCCGCCCTGTCCACCATTCTCGCTTGTCAGTACAGCTACTATTCTCTTTCTGTGCCTTCTGGATAGCATCAAACTCCATCAACGCCGAACTGAGAGGAAGCTATGGGACATGAAGGTATGAGACCTCTGCCCAACTGACACCTCTCCATCTTCCATCCACAGAACACGAGCAGTCTGACCTGCAATCTGCCTTGTCCCTGGCCTATAAAACCTACCTTACTTTGGGCAGTGGGAATCTGTACACTGATTGGAGGACTATCTTTTTCCAGTCGAGTCAGCAGGAGGGTGTTGCCCACAGTTCCAGGCTGGAGAGTGGCCAGGGCCAGCACACATACAGTCACCCCTGACACAAAAGAACAAACTCCAAGTCATTTTAGGCCTTACAGGAATTCCCTAGCTTCTGCACTAATTTCCATCCATTACTCAAGACAATCCACAAAATCTTCAAGAAGTCTTTCCTGGCAATGAGGTTCCAGGTGTTCTCCTTTACCCTCACAGCCTCCCTATGGACAGAGACTATGTCTTATACTTCTTTGTGTCTCTCACAGCAACTGACAAAGGGCTTTGCACATAGGCACTCAAATCATCTGTTAATGTATTCCATGTTAAAGCAGGAAGACATTTGACAGCTGAATGAAATCTACTGGAAACTCAAAGATGAGATTTATAAAAAGATTTTCAGAGTTAAGATGTCTTTGGCAAGAGAAAGAAAACAGCAAACAGTGGGAAACACATGACATAAATATGTAAATCTGTACAAAATAACTAATACCTTAGACATCTTCAGCCAACTTCTCAGTAAAGAGATGCATAAAAAGTCAAAAGAACAGGCCAGATGCCTGCCATCATACCACTTGGGATCTGAGCTAGGTGTTCCTTGAAACTCTCCTTCTCAGGCTGGGGGAATTGGCCAGATCCTAATGTTCTGAAGGAAAAGATGTGCTGGATGTGGTCCAGTGGGACCTCTCCACTCTTCTCCTGGAGGCTCAGCCTCTGCAGCTGCTCTGCCACTTCCAGAGATCCTTTGTGCTTCTGTGCCTTGCTGTAAAAACACAGATAGAGATCAACTTCCTTCCTTAAAAAAATCTATATTCTCCCTCCAATCCATCCTAACCCAGGTGCCTCTGATCTTAGAAGGAACCTGAAAGATCGTAGGCACTCACTTGAGCTGTCTGTGGAGGTGAGTGAGCAGCTGGTGTCGACAGGTGATGGAGACAGACTCGGTGACAAGGAAGGCAGTGGTATAGGGATCTCGGTGGCCCAGGCACAGAGCCAGGAAGCGGCAGAGGTGGGAATAGAGTGCACTAGGAGGACAGTGACTGACCCCACGGAAAGCAAGGCTCAGTGAGTCACACATGGCATCCAGGGTGGAGAGACCTAGAGAAAAGTCAAGACATTTGTACTTCTTCCCAGCCAAGAGGAATTTTCCAAGAAGGAATCCCTATCTCCCCTATGGAAAGTAGCAGATAGCATTTATCAAGGTAGCATGAAACTTATGTGCATCAATTCACTCCATCCACCCAAACATCCTGTGGATTGACATTACTTCCATTTTTACAGTTAAGCTATAAAAGCTCTGAAAGGTAATGTGATTTGCACACAGCCAGTAGAGTAAGAATGAGGAGAAAGGCTACCGGTTCTAGATTGTGAACTAAAGCTAGAACCATGACAGACTGGAAAAGCACTAGGATCAAGAGGTATGCCTTTCCTGAGGAACCAATCTTCAGGCTCAGCATATTTACCAATGGCTACAGAGGCTGAGGAGAGCCGGAGCCTAGGGCCAAGGTCTTTATTGAGCTCCTTGTCTGGCCACGGCGTGGGTAGCTTTTCCTTGCTGGAATCCCGGCGCAGTACCTCACATTCTCCTATGGTTCCATCAAATCCTGCAGCTGATGTCTTCTCACCTGGAAAAAGAATATAAACTTTTTTCGCAAAGTTCCCTCCTTCTATCATCCCATTTTTTCCCCCTTCTAGGAGCCAGTCCCTCAGAGCCAGCAAAAGAACTTCCTTTCTATACTACAGTTGGCACCAGTAATTCTTTAGTTTTGGTCTCAGGACAACCAAAAAAAAAACATATCCACCTTCTACTTCCCACTCTCGCCATCATACCTGAGGCTGAGTCTTCCCCATCAGAGTCCCTGAGGATCTCAAAGCTCATTTCCATCTGGTTGTCAGCCAGTTCCTCCTCAGGGATGGCCCTCATGATCTCCTCACCATGTCCTGATACCATCTTCTTGGTCCTCCGACTCTTGCTACTCAGACTAGGGTGCCCAGGTGTACTACTTGGGACAACCATTGCATTAGCCTTTGAGCTTGAGCCCTTCTTAGCCTGGCCCTGGCCCCGGCCCCGGGAAGCAGAGCCTCGTCTCTTGGGCTCCTTGGTAAGCTGTGCCTGAGATGAGACAGGGTCTTCCATGTCACTGTCATCACTGAAGTTCACCTGGATGGATGGGAAAGAGAGAAGGGCCAAGAGGCCTTCAGTGGCAACACATTTTCTGACAGCAGGTGGCACTATGGAGTTACCAGCCAAGATTAATAACAACCTCCCATAAACAATCTCCTATTCCCAATCAGTGGCAGTAACTCTTGGATGTGAAAGGAGGATGAGGAAGGAACAAAAGATATGAAACCATAAAATTAACAAAGTATTTCTATCTGAAACAAAAGTAGACTTAGAACCAGATCTTGCTGTGAAACATCAAGAATGATTAAGGTCTCAATGGACACAGGCAACCTAGTCCATGGGAGACACTTCTTCCTCATGACCATGCCTACTAACATTGTACAGCCTAGCCAAAATGCCACCTCACCTTAAGCCGTGTCTGGACCCTCTGTCGCACCCTGGGGGCCTTGGGAATCTCAGGCTTGTTCTTGACAGTAAAGACTTCTTCAAACACAGTAAAAGGGATGTGAGGACCAGCCTTCTTACCACGGCCCAGGGGCCTAGGTGTACAGGGTGGTCCTCCACCTTCTGGACCTTTCAGAGAGGTCATCTGGTGCCTGGGTCCTGCATGTTTTCTGCTCCGAGTCTTAGAGGGTTCTGAGGCTGGGGGGTTCTTTACTGCTGGTGGCTGCCAGTCCCAAGAGCTTGCAAAAAGCTGGGTGGTACAGCAGTTGAGGCCAATCAGCTTTGCCAGGACTCGAGTCAACAGGAGGCTGGCTTGCCAGGGTTCTAGAAGGGGCATCCGAGTGGCCACAAACTTCAGCCCTGATTCTAGGACCTTCCCCAGGTTCTTGTCTGATGGCTGGTTCAAGCCCTCCAGTGCCAGCTGTGTGTATGCTTGAGCCAAGATCTCATCAAAGAGGCTTGGGACAGGGGAAGGGGGTGCTTTGTGACTCATAGAAACCTGGAGAGCTTGAATGAGGCGCTTAGTGGCTGCAGGGCAACCTTTCAATACAGCCTGAAGCAAATCCAGACCCTGGGCCTGGTGACCCACGGCTAACTTTACCCCTGCTGTGACCAACGCCCAGCGCAGACAGACAGCTGAGAGGACAGGGCTGACACAAAGTAAGCAGTCACAGGTGGGAGGGTGGGACAGGAAGCCAGGGCTGGGTTGAGGTTTGTTTTTCAGGATTGGGGAGGAAACAGTAGAAGGTGCTGTGGAGCCAGGCTCCTTGGCCACAGTGGCCACCAACTCCAGAGCAGGGCCTCGTAAGAAAAGCTCCTCTTCTGGGAGCTCTGGTGAACAGAGGACCCGGGCCTGCCGCTTTCCTTTCTGAGGCTGGACCTTCTTCACAGAGTCTGCATGCTGGCCCAGCCCACCAAACTCTGGGAAGAGAGTAAAGCAAGAGTTACAAGATGGGAGAAATGGTACTAAGAGTTTCCTGACCTACCACAATGCCTGGCTCCCTGATAAATGTGCTCTGAGACCCCCAACAAGCTCGAATGACACAATGGCTGTAACAAGGGGCTTAAACATAACAATTGTGAGGATGGCACAGGTCCGGGCACCTAACAACAACAATGTACTAATGATTATAGTTTACCTGTTGTTTTTTTTTTTTTAAGGTAAAATTCCCAGTGCTTTCTTCCAACATAAAAATGGATCAACACATCTCTACAGCTCACAAAGCCCTCCACAACTGTAGCTCAAAAGGCCACATGGCTCAGGAGATCCAAGTCTTCCTCCTGGTTCCTGACTCTAACTAGCTCTGTGATACTGGCCCAAATTACTGATTATGCTTCAGATCTTCCCACATTATAAGTGAGGGAAAAACAAACAAAATACTTTCTCATGCAATTTTATAGGGGTTTTGTGTAAATCAAATAAAATACTAGAGGTACAATGGGGTCAAAAGAAAAAAATGACCTGGAAGCCCTCCCATGGACAGCACATTTGCACTACCAGACACACTAGCCATGATTCACATGTGGCTTATGAGCATTTGAAATGTGGCTACTGTGATCAACAAAGAAAAAACTAAATTTTATTTAAATGGAAATTGCCAAAACCTACTGAGCAGTACAGAAAACGAGAAGCAGATAGGTTGGTTCTGGTGAAATCCAGGGGCCAGCAGCCTCATGAACCAAACCTGTCAAATAGAAATGTGCTGAGGGAGCTCTGGTGGCCTAGTGCCAAGAAGCTGCACTGCAATCCCAGAGGTATGCGGTTCAAATACACCAGATGCTCTGCTGGAGAAGGAGGAACAGTCTCTTCCTATACTGTCAGACCTGATTTGATGGTACATGCACAAATTAAAAAAAAAAAAAAGAATGTGCTGGAGTATCAGTGTGACTCTAGCTGCCACTCATGAATGTGCCTGCTCACCTGTGCATGATTCCAGCAAGAACAGAACCTGCTGCAGATCAGATTGACAGAGGTCCAAGTCACTTCGTGCCAGCTCCAGCTCCCCCTTTAGCACCAGGAACAGGGCACATCTTGTTGGGAGAGGAGATAACTATCAGTGGAATCCTTCTTATCCCTGGAGATTCATTCCCTTTGTCCCTTCTCCACACAAGGCCAATCTACAATCTCTCCCACCTCCCAAAGCCCTCACTCTCTAAACTAACTTAAAGCCTTTTAGAGGAAACCACCTGGCCCTTTTCTCTCATTCTAACTTACTTTATCTATGCACAACAACAGGGTTTCTCAAACTGTATTTCTTGGGGGAAAAGCAAACAACAAAGAATCCTGTGGGCAAGCATATTAAGAGAAACAAACATACTAGATCTTAGATCTCCCTTTTGGAGATTTACAAAACGCGTATCATAGGACACGAGACGTCCTATAGGGGAAAAAGAATGTAAAAAATCTCATTTTGAGAAACCCAGCAATGCCCATTTCTTTAGCAGAACTCATTCTTCCACCAGCCATCCAGACAGGACATGGTAATATGTGGAATAGTCTGAGAATGTATGGTCAAGGGTGAGTGGCCTCAGGTCTCAGAATTGGCACTTCTTGGGCCTTGCACTCACTGGCGTGGTATCTGTAGCTTCATTGTCAGTTTTAGGGCTTCCAAGCAAAAGGCCTTGGCTTCGCTCACATTGCCCAGATGGCCCAGGCGAGAGACCAGCTTCTCTGAGCAGCTTAGCACCTCTGTAAGAACTTGCCATTTCTGTACCAGATTTTCACCTGTTGCAGAGAGAGACAAGACTATCATCACTCAGTCATCATCCACATTCTTGGGGTAAAAACTGCCATAGGCACCAACATAGAGCTCTGCTCTCCTCCTCCGACTCACCATAATCCAGAAATGGAGTCTCTACGGTTCCTTTTTTAACCGAGAGCACATCACTGCCCATGAGCAGGAGGATGATGCTTCGGAGGAGCTTATGGGAATCAAGAAGCGCAATCTCAGGTGTCTGCCAGCCTATGGTAGGTGAGGTGGAGAAAAGGAGGGACAAGACATGACCAGAACTTTACGGGGACATACTGGTGCCCTTCTCCTGCACCTGACCAATTGGATATAACCAATCACTCAACTCTTGCCCTCTGAGCTTACATGGAGCCTCAACATTCTTCTAAGCATAGTTATTCAAGAAGCTGCTAATCAATTAATGGAAATCTGCAGATAAATTACAACTGATTTGTCTTCCCATGTATCCCAGGACTCTGTACATGTTCTCAGTGGACTAAATGACATAACTGAAAGCAGAGATGAGGATAAGAGCTGAGCAGATAGGATAAACCTTACACAATGTCCAAGAAGGGCCAGCTACCCAATTAATTCACCTTGGGCACAGAGCTTCTCCCATAGGGAGACTGGGAGACTGTTCACAGAGAAGCTAAGGTAGACTGCCACCAACTGCAGAGCCTGGACACGCAGCAAGTACCAAGCCTTAGAAGACTTCTGGAGAGCTGGGTTCTGAAGCACAGACAGCAGCAGAGAGGCACCCTCAGTCACCTTTGAGAGAAGGAAAAATATTAGTGAACAGAGAACAAGAAAATTAGTGAAGTCAAATAAGCATTTCAAAGTTTGAGATAGGCAGTTTTCTGCTTTAAAAACAATAAAAGCTCATCACAACAAGATAAAGGTAAATAATCCAATTGAAAAATGGGCACAGGAGATGGACACTTTACCAAAGAAGACATTCAGATGGCCAACAAACACATGAAGAAATGTTCAAAATCCCTAGCTCTAAGAGAGATGCAAATCAAAACAACTATGAGATATCATCTCACCCCAGTCAAAATTTAACAGAACAGCAAGCAACAAATGCTGGTGAGGTTGTGGAGAAACTGGAACTCTTATTCACTGTTGGTGGGAGTGTAAAATGGTGCAACCACTGTGGAAGGTGGTATGGCACTTTCTCAAAAAGTTGCAAATAGAGATACCATTTGACCCAACAATTCCACTACTGGGAATATACCCCAAAGAGACCATAACTGCCATCCAAGCAGATATATGCACACCCATGTTTATTGTGGCTTTGTTCACAATAGCAAAGAGTTGGAAACAACCCAGGTGCCCATCAACAAACGAATGGATAGAGAAGCTGTGGTATATTCACACAATGGAATACTACACTGTATTGAAAAATAATGAACTCATGCAATATTATTCAAAATGGGTGACCCTGGAGGACATTATGCTGAGTGAAATATCTCAGTCACAAAAGGACAAATACTGCATGGTGCCACTGCTGTAAAATGGGACTGATATCAGAGTTGGGGTAAGACTGAGAAAAACTGGATAAATTGTGTATACTGCAATGAAACAGATGAGGGAGAGAATAATTTAAAAGCAATGTATGATAGGGTATTATAGTTATCACAAGAGTCCACAATTAAGGTTGTATAGTAGAATATACTTGGGGTGGTGGGAGGGGTGCAGGGGGATTGTATATCAAAGAAAGAATTTTTCTTTTACTTTTCAAAGAGAGGAGCAAACTGCGGTGGGGGGGGCAGAGGAAGGGCTGGGCAGGGAGAAAAGTGCAACAATGAATGAATGGAAATCCAAAATCTCTGTAAATGTTCATTAAAATTATTAAAATAAAGTCTAAAAAAAAAGAAGTTAAAATAAATTTACATTAAAAAAAAAAAACCACAATAAAAGCTGTATAGAAAACTAGACCCTAATAGGGTACAAGACTTGACCAAGTCACACAGCTTGTCTGAGAGAATATAGGTCTTTTGGATCCCAGTGAATTCCTAGTTGAGGTTGTCTAAGAATAACCACCATCCCGGTTTCTAGTCAGAGGACAAACAGCTCCTGAGAAAAACAGAAAAGGACTATCTCTACCAGAGAACTAGTTAACAACTCCATGAAGATGGCAAGGCTAGGAAATATTCATTTCCCAGGGATAAGAACAGTCTTCTTAGCTCCAGGGAAATCTTCGAAGCCTGAAAAAATAACCAAAATATTCCGAGAAAATTTTTTTCAATACCCAATACCCAGTGAGCTCTGGTGGCCTAGTAACAAGAAGCTGTGTTGAAATCCCGAAGGCACACTGTTCAAGACCACCAGCTGCTCCATGGAAAAAAGATGGGCAATCTCCTCTCATGCGATTAATTGCCTCTGAAAACCTGCCAGAGGGTCAGCTATGGGCCGGTTCTGACTCTACAGTACTCCACCACCACCACAACCCAAAATCTTTCAGATTAGGAAAATGATAAACACCTTCTGGGTAGCACAGTAGAGTTGACTTCGAAGTACATCACAGGTCAGGGTAAGGAGCAGGTAAGTATCAGTGGTCTGATCAAGAAGTCTCAGGTTTGATTCTGCCTCCTCAAGGTGTAGCTAAAGAAACAATCAGAGGGTGAATGAAACATGGGTAAGAAGAGGTGGCCAAGTCAGAGTCTTCATATAGCATGTTTTAAAACATTTGGAGTTAAAATGCTAAACATACATAATAAAATATTAAGCTATTTTAAATATCACAATCGACACAGGACTTAATAACTAACTCAAATGTTCATTTAGTATTTTTACTTTAACCATTTATGCTAGAAAAACAGGGCTGAAGAGAGACAAGGCTCCATCTCTTAACAGTTTTAAATGAGGGAGGCTCGCAGAGTGGAAACAGAGGTAAATAAAATACAATGCCAGACATGCTACCTAGTGGTATCTAGGGACAATTACAAGTGAGAATGTGAAAATGTCTTTGAAAAAAGAGGATGATGGAACTAGGCCTTGAAAAGAAAGTACAGGTTTACTGAATGAAATTTAAAAAGACAAAGGGTCCATTTAAAATGAAGGAAGTAACAAAACTAAAGACAATGATGGTGAATATAAAATAACATATGTATTTGGTATAGGGTTTTTAGTAGGGAATGGCAAGAAAAAGTATGAGCTCATAATATAAAAGGTATCAATGCAAAGGAGTCAGTACAGTATCCTTCAAGTAATGGAGTAGTCACTAAAATTTTTTTAAGTAAGAAAGAGGTAAGATCAGGTCTGGACCTAAGAAAATTACTCTAGCAGTGGTGAAACATGAAGTAGAAAAAAAATGAACTCAAAGACGAGAAGAGAAGCTAAGAAAGCAGGACACCAGCTGTAAAGAAATCGAAAGGAGTATTGTATTGGGTAAATCTGCTGTCAAAGACCTATCTAAGGCTTTAATGAACAATGATGTCAGTTTAAAGACTAAGATGCAACTACTTCAAGGCATGGTCTTTTCTGAAAACTTTCAGTTGGACAATAACTAAGGAAGACAAAAGAAGAATTGATGTCTTTGAGTTGTGGTTTTGGAGAAAAGTACTGGATATCACATGGACTACCAAAAGAACAAACAAGTATCTCTTGGAGAAAGTGCAGACAGTGTGCTCCTTAGAGGTAAGGATGGTGGAATTTCATCCCACATATTTTGGGCATGTTGTTAGGAGGGGTCAGTCCTCGAAAAAGCAAATCATGCTTAGAAATGTGGAGGGTCAGTGAAGTAGAGGAAGATTCTCATCAAGATGGATTGACACGTATCAACTGAGTGCCGACAGAGCTCTAACGGCCTAGTCTATAGCGAGTGCTAATCCAAAGGCTGCATCTCTCGGGCAGTTCAAATCCACCAGCAGCTCCTCAAGAGAAAAATGGACAATTTCTTCCTGTGCAATTTACAGCCTTGGAAACTAGCTACAAGACAATTCCAACTCAATGGAAATGAGAAGAAGCATATAATGAACAAAATTGGTTGGAAAAGGATTAGCAGTATATTCCTGGAGTAGAATCTGTAAGGCTTTATGTGCAATTTATTATACAATGAAGAAAAAGAAAACTTCTCACAGCTGCCTTCCAACTATTCACACTGTAATACCCTAGGAGAATGCAGCAGTGGCAGTAAAAGGCAAGACATTGCCCCTCCAGTATTGTATCTTCTCAAATAAAAGATGGGCCAGTAAGGCCAAGTTTTACCCTTGCAGCATCTAGGCAAGCCTAGCTGGACACTTACCTGGGCATAGCTGGGACAGCCAAGTCTCAGGAGGAGCTGGGTGATATGACAAGAGGAGCTAGCTGCCTTCGAAGGGTCCTTCAGTGTCTTGGAGACAATCCGTAAAAGCAGGAGGACCTCCAGAGCCTGCAGGGGCTGTCAGCCAGAAGCAGCACATTTATTCCTCTATGTGTCCATTTCTATCGTCTGCTTCCCAGCCCTTTGGGATCTTGGAATATGGCCTGACCTCAGAACCTGACATGTCTATATGACATACAGAGAAACCCTCCGCCACCCTTAGGGAACCCCCAACTCAAAGGAAGCCTACATACCAGCCTTCTGTTTTAAAGTCTAGATGATAATCATCAATAGCCAAGATTTACTGAGTACTTACTATGTGCTGGGGCACTGTGCCAAGACGTTTACATGTCTTAACTTACTTAGTTCTCATTGCAACTCTAATCCTGATTTAACAGATGAGCAAACTAAGACTCACATATGTCAGATCGCTTGAACAAGTTCACATAACAGGTATGTTGTAGAGCTGTGAGTCAAATTCTAGGGCTGAGGCAGCTATTCAGCTTCCTGGTACTAGAAGAGGAAGCTTTGGCAGCAAGAAGTTGCGCTGCAATCCTGAAGACATGCGGTTTCAGGCCACAAGTTGCTCCATGGGAGAAGGATGGTCAATCTACTCTCATGTGATTAACTGCCTCTGAAAACCCACCAGACGTCAGGTCTGACTCGAAGGTGCACAACAAAAACAGTATTAGAAGCATGTTTTAAGGGGTCATGGTAAACTTATAGTATTTTCTTTTCGACGTTTTTACTAAGAATATTCCTAATAGGGAGCTTTGGCAGCCTATAGGCAAGAAGCTGTGTTGCAATCCTGACGGCACACAGTTTGAGGGCCACCAGCTACTCTGCTGGTGAAATATGGTCACACTCCTCTGAAAACCCACTGAAGGGTCAGCTATGGGTTGGTTCCAACTCTATGGTACACAACAATAACAATATGAATTCTGGGAAAGATATTCTAAGAAGTATGTAAACCACTCTGAAACTGTATTTAAAAATGTAAAATTGTTGATCTATGGCTATCTAGGAAGAAGCTGTGACAATCTAGTGGTAAGCTGTGTTGCAATCCCAAGGCCACGCAGTTCAAATTAATTTAGCTGCTCCAAGGGTGAAGGATGGGCAGTCTACTCCTGTGCAACCAACTGCCTCTGAAAACCTGCTGGAGAGTCTGCTATATGTTGGTTCCCATTCAAAAGCACACAACATGCTATTCAGATCTCAAATTACCTAAGAATTATGGCTAAAATCTGAATATTCTATTCATATGAAATATCGTTCCTGCATTAACTCAGTGAATACTAACAACCACTCTAACAGCTATTATTGTCATCCATAGTTAGTATACGATAGAGTTCAGATTTGAATTTAGGCAGACTGATAAGAGTCCATGATCTCTACCACTGGATTAACTAACTGGCTTCTCAGGAGGTTCACGGGCCAAAGAAAGGGAAGAACTCAGCTTCTAGTCTGGCCTTTGTACGTATGGATCTCCACTGACAACCATTACCTTTGCCACCAGCTGATAGAGTGCTGCCAGGATCTGTAGTGAGGCTGCTGTCTGCTGGAGACATCGCACAGCTGTGGCCTGTCCCCTTGTAAGTATCTCTTTCCACAGGACAAGGGCTTGGTCCAGGCATTTGGACTGAGCTGTCAGAAGAATGAAAAAAACAAGAAGAATGGGAACAGTCTTTCTCAGTGTGAGCCATCTGGGGAGAATTCTGCTTTCTCTATAACATCATCTGCCCTGTGTGTCAACCTGTCCACCACCCTTTGGACCCTAACCAAAGTCCCTATTCTGCTTATGAAGCCATAGAGGAGACCCCCTATGACCTGTTCTTAATACCCTCACCAGCATCTGCAGCCAGGTTGAAGGCAATGTTACTGTACAAGAAACGATCTTCCTGAAGTTTATCTTCATAGTTCAGGTCATTAACTTCAAATTCCTCCAAGTTACTAGGGGCCTGGGCTCTCCGATCCCGCTCGATACCCTGAAAGACAATCAGAATTAAAAACAGAAAAGTATTAGTTTACTTAGGGGGCACAGGGAAAACAATCCTCATACCCATTTCTGCTCATCCCATAGCAACCAAGCTCACTTCCTGCATTTTGGCCTCCAGGGTACAGATGTAGAGCCACAGCAGGGCCTGTGCTTTATCATCCAGGAGCCGATCTTCATCCTCAGCTTCAGGCCTCACAGACTCTAGAAGTTGCAGAGCTTCTCGGACAGCATCTAGGGCAGAGCTGCAGGGGAGAATGCACGTAAGCTGGGTCCACAGTAAGTACCTGCCAGTGTCTGAGCTGGACCTGCAGAACAGCTGGCTTTACCCCTTGAGTGTACTCCACTAACTAAAGGGGATACTGTGAGATAAAGAGAAAAAAACAAGGTAGGAAAAGATTAAGAAGACTGAAGTCAAGGAGCAAGAGTGGCCTCCCCAGCTACAACTTCTCACCAGTCAGTCTGCTGGGCAAAGTCATGGTAGCAGAGCACCTGAGCCAGTTCCACCAGGTGGGTGGCTCGTGCCCATGCTCCATTGGGTGTCTCTTCGGGATTCAGCTCCAGCAAGTCACAGATGACATTGAACCGTTCTTGTCCAGTGTCAGCCCGCACCGCTTTATAGGCCTGCAGCTCCTCCCTGAGCAGGAAGCCCAGGGTCTCTGGGTCCCAGTCATTCAGGCTGTCACGCAGAGTCCTAAGAGAGAGGAGGCTCAGTACCATGTGGAGCCCATGAGTGCCAGCCTTAGTTTGCTGAGAGCTTAATGAGTTTCTAGGCATGGCTTTACAAGGTAAATCAGTCCACCATTCCTCTGCAGTGGACATCCACAAAGGAATCATATCCAAACCCCTTCCATGGCTATAAAGCTGTATATGATCTGGCTTCTGTCTATCTTGACTGCCTCATTCCACATTGCTCCCCCTCATACATTCTATACCCAATTTTACTGCATTCCAGCTAGGCTGGTTTTCCCCAAACACAACATGTTTTTTTCCAATCAGGGCCTTTGTATTCCTTCTTTCTGGAATTTTCTTCCCTGAGACATTAAAATAATGGTGTTAGTCCATGTCAATAGGTCTCACCTCAACACTTCTTCAAAAAGTCTAAATAAACCATGTAAAAGTTCTTTCCTCTTTAGCAAACCTTCACAGAATATATACGAAATTTATTTGTTTTTGGTGGTGTAGTGGGTGAAGACGTGGACTATGAAGTGAATGTTCAGCAGTTTGAACACATTCAGCTGCTCTGAGGGAGAAAAAAGGAGCCAGTATGCCCCCCAAAATTTACAGCTTTGGAAACCATATAGGAGAATTCTACTCAGTTCTATAGATTACTATGAGTTGGAATTGATTTAACAGCAGTGAGTTTGGTTTTGCGGGAACGAGTATCAAATCCATGAAATGTAAGAACATTGTCTGATTCGTCACTACCACGATACCGCCAACTCAGCACCTAGCACAGATGCTGGCACACAGCAGACACTGAGTGGACAACTGACAAATGAAGGAGCCTATGCCTTTTTCAGACATAAGGATAAAAGGAAACGACCAGCCTAACCATGGGCCAAACATAGCTGTGTTCTTCCCCACCTACTTACTTCAGCTGTAGTTCTCTGTCTCCAGCCTTGGCTGCATCCATCTTGACCCGAACCCAGAAGCTGACAGGCTCAACCATGTGTGCAGGGCCGCAGGATCGCAGGGCTGCCAGCCACAAACTCACCATCTGGCAGCCCTGTGCCTGCTTACCAAGTTTCTTTAAACTCTCCACATGTAGCCGGAAGCACCTATGCAACTGCAGAGAACGAGTAAAAACCAAACTTGAGAACTCCGGAAAGGAGCCGCCAGATCTGTAAAGTGTGAGACTACTTGCATTCCCAGGTTTATCAACACAGACACAGTGGTAGGTGGAGAGTGGTCTTCCCCCCAACCTCTTCCCATCCTGTGCCCAAGGCATAAGATTATCTAATTAAGAATTAAGCAGCAACAAAAGCAAGATTCAACAGAGCAGCAAACAATAAATGCTGGAGAGATTGTGGAGAGACTGGAACCCTTATTCACTGCTTGTGGGAGTGTAAAATCGTGCAAACACTATGAAAGGTGGTTTGGCATTTTCTCAAAAAGTTAGAAATACCATTTGACCCAGCAATGCCATTACTGGAAATACACTCTAAAGAAACTATAATCGCTATCCAAACAGATATATGCACACCAATGTTTACTGCTGCATTATACACAATAGTGAAGAGATGGAAGCAACCCAAATGCCCATTAACAAATGAATGGATATGGTAGATTCATATCATGGAATACCACACAGCTCTGAAAAACAATGAACGCATAAAACATTACACAATATGGGTGACCCTGCAGGACATTATGCTGAGTGAAATACCTCCCTCACAAAAAGGCAAACACTGCTTCACACTACTGTTATAAAAGCAGGTCTGACATGAGGGTTTGGGAGGAGAATAAGATAATAGGTGAGAGATAATGAACATTGCACTGGAATAGATGAAAGAAAGCACTATTTAAAAGGAATATATGATTAGGCATTATTTGTACAACAATAACCCAGAATAAGAGGTACATTGGTTGCAAAGAGGGCTGGGGGCAGGAGGAGGTAACTGCACAACAATGAATGAATAAAGAAAATTAAAAAAGTGAACTGAGCAGGGGGAAGGGAGGGAGGGAAAAGGGGTAAAAATGTACAACAATGAATAAATGAAAATCTAACTTTTCTGTAAACATTTTTTTCCCTATAATTATATTTTATTAATTTTCATAAACATTTACAGAGATTTTGGGTTTCCATTCATTCATTGTTGCACTATTCTCTCTACCCTCCTCCCAGTTTGTTGTCCAAATGCCACAGTGCTTGTCAAAGCCAGTTCTGATTAATCTCCTTTGTCAGTGTGTCCTTTGCCATTCCCTATCACTCCTCCCTGAGAGAGACTTCACCCTGAGTCATAAGGAAAAGGGGATGGCGTATTCTCTTAGCTACTTCCTGCTGAAAAGGGACGCTGTGGGTTTCAGGGTGAAGATCTTCTGTAAACTTTTGTTAAAATCACAGTTAAAATAAAAAAATTCATAAAAAAGAAAAAAATAATAATTAAATACTCTGGGAGCTTATAACCTCAGAGGTTTCAATCCCTCCCATGCCCTATTTATTGTCCACAGCCCTGAAAATCCAATCCTCCTTCTATAATCCTCTTTTTCAGCAAAGGGCACCTCTGAGTCAGAAATATCCCAATCTTTGACTCTTCCCTCTCCCTCCTTCCAGCCAGTCATTTACTAAGTTAATCCTTATCTTCTTACAGGAATCCATGTCTTTTCATCCCTAGAACAGCTGCTTCAGTTCCTACCTTTCCCACCTAGGCTTCTCTAATAGCCCCTCTGCCAGTCTTGCCCTTGCAATGAAAAATCCAAACAACAGAAAAATCCAAAATGCCAATCTTGATGTCATACCTCCACTGAAGTCACTCAGACACTCATCACCTCACTCAGTGATGAAACTCTGAGGATAGGTCCTCCTCCATGACCTATCTTGTCTACTGATCCATTGCCCAAAGGATCAGTTGGTGCATGAGAAATTCTTATGCAATTGGTCTGGGCAGACACAACTATTTTTTCCTAAAAGTTCACTCAAGTGACCAATGTACAACCATGCTGAAACCACTAGATTAGACAAATAAGTTAATTAAAGTATTAGTAGAAAATAATTGTACAAGTGAGAAACACTGTTATCAGGTACTGATGCCAACATGTATCTCCTAACACCCTCCTGGCCAGGTTGAGCCTCCTGGCTCAAGATTTTTCTCCTCCAAAACCCATAACCTCCCTTCTGGTCTAACTCATTTCCTCATACCTTCTCAGGAGGCATCTCAGGATAGGTGCCTGGCTTCACCAAGCCCAAGTGCTGACAAAGTGGCTCAGAGATGGCACAGGCCTCGGCATACAGCTTGTGACTATAGAAGCTGTAGGCCAAGTTACTGGTATAAGCAGCTGCAAGGGAAAGAAAGCATAAATGTGTTGGAGAGGTAATAACAGAGAGATTCAACTAGGGTTCTGCTCATCAACTTCTAGATCAAGCAGGAACCCTACTGCTAAGGAAAAACAGTTCATTCCATTAAGGCCACACCACCAGCCCCTCTGTGTATGACCCTCAGTTACTAGCCAAGTGCAGTATTTGTACCATCCAAAGACTGAATTTCTAATACTCAAAAAGTCAATATTTTAGATAAATATCTGACCTCTTACCTCTCTCTCATTCATTGCATGGAAACCACCTTGGGTGTCATGCTGTTCTCTGATCAGATACTCTCCTGCCTTAAAGCCTTGTCACTGGATATCAACCCTACAATGCTGTTCTTTTCATGGCTAAACTCCTTCACGCCTTCCAAGTCTTTGCTCATGTCACTCTCTTAGTGAGGCCTATCCTGATCACTGATTTAAAATGGTAACTGACCTTCTCATTCTCCTTGAACTCTCAATCCTCTTTCTAATCCCACTCTACTTTCCCTTATGTCTACATTTCCTACCATTTTCTGGCATGTTAATAGTTCACTTTTTTGTGGTTCTGTACCACTAAGTCAGAAGTAACCCACAGCTGACCGACCAGCCGATTTTCAGAGGCGGTAAATCACATGGGAAGAGACCGCCCATCCCTTTCCCACAGAGCAGCTGGTGCCTTTGGTATTGCAGTGTAGCTTCTCACCACTAGGCCACTAGAGCCCACTTACTTTTTTGTCAGGTGCAATCAAGTCAAATCCAACTCATAGGGACCCCAGGAACAGCCAATCTGAACCCTGACCTATCTATCATGTGCCATCCTCATCATCCCTGACACACTAGAGCCCATTGCTTAAGTCAATTAATCTCCTTGGGGGGGTCTTCCTCTCTCTCTACGTATTTAGTCTGTTAAATATCCTTTTCTAGTTAGAATGTGGCTCCACAAAAGCTCTTTCCCAGAGACTCAGAATAGGGTTTGGCATGTATAGGTACTAAATAAATATTTGAATGAGATTGTTCTAAATTCCAAAACATCACTCACGCAGCTTCTCAACAGACAGCTGGCAGAAGATAAACTCAATTTTCAATCTTCTATGGAAATTGTTCAAACTAACAGTATTTTTTATATTTTCATCTTTCTGATTTGGTTTAGACCTTGAGAACACATTAAGTTCTCCAGATCCTCAAATGACAGATGCTCTAAGGACCATCTGAGTTCAAACTGAAAACTCATGCTTTTTGTAAAATAATGAGAAATCTTATTGTGAAGTATAAAAATTGGCAAGACTAAGTGATGCTGTTAAGATGGTGGTTACTGCATGGGGGGGTGGCTGTCTGGCTAAAAGAAACCACAAGGAGCAGCTTCTAGGGTTCAAATCATCGTTACTTGACTCAGATAATGGTTACAAAATATGCTTAGTTTGTGAAAAGCAATCAAAATATACCCTTTGATTTATATACTTTTCTTTACATGTATTTCAATTGAAAAAAAAAAGTGGAGAGAAATGGATATTGGTTTACGAATGCACAATGTGTCTCCAAAATAACAAATTATTATTTCTTATTTATTGCCCCTAGAGAAGAATCTGGGTAAGCCAATGATGAGGGCTGGAGAGGGACTTTTCACTGTACATCTTTTTGTACATTTTTAACTTTGAACTAGTAGTCTATCTGGTTAAAAAAGTTACAATGGTATTAAAACTTCACCTCATAATTTATCTATTGGTATTAAAGATAAAGTACCTAATACTAATAAATACCTTTTTTCACTGTCTCCTTAAACCATAAGAAGTCCTGCAATGATCAGAACCATCTAGCATGTGCTATTTCCCTTCCTCCTGAGTGATGATTTCCCAGAAGCCCACTCCTGGCTCCTGGGCCCAGATCACTAACCAGTCAATCCTAGACAGTCGGTCAGTTCTGGACCTGACAGATCCTCTAAGGCCTCCAGCATCCAGACAACAGTTGCTTTGCTACTTTCCACTAGCTGGGCTAGGTCAGCCAGGTCGGCTACCTGAAGGCACAAGAAAGATATGATGGTAAAACGAATCACGATAGGTCCAGGGTGATCTCTACCCTCGGCGTTAACACAATACAAAACTCCACGTAGGGCAATAAAACAATCCCAGACCCCATAAACCTGTCCAAGTCCTCTGATTCTCAGATGGGTACCTGACAGTCTTGGGCAAAGTCATAGACGACCACAGTGAAGAGCTGAAGTCCCTGAAAGTACATCTGAAGCAAAGACTGCTGCTGCTTGGACAAGTCTTTACAGACCTAAGGAAGAAAGAAGGGGATTGGCTTGAGGGCCAGAGACAAAGAGTAAGGTCCATGTTGACAACTGTGCCACAAATTCTAGAGAGCTGACAAAGTACATGACATAGTACAGAGAAGAGGAGGAGGATGGACATTAGAAGGAATTGCCCTCTCAGCATAGCCCAACTTGCTTACTGGCTTAGCAAACCTAATTCAGAAAGCAGCCTGCCAAAAGGAAGCCAGGGCGTCCAGATATTGCCAAAGACCACAGGCTGATTGTAAATCCATAGAACCACATCCCCACCCTACTTCCAGTTCCTTAACTCACATCAGCCTGCAGCTGCCGGATGAGCGAGCAGTAACTGCCAAGAAAAGCAAAGAGACTCAAAACAGCATCAGAGCTGTAACGCTTTTTGGTTCCTTTCTCCAGACCTGAGAGGAAAAACTGACAGGTGTCACTCAATGCCCGCAGTGGTGGTGATGGTGTCTCCATACTGGCCTTTAGGATAGTTGATGCTTTGACCAGAAGCTTGGTCACTGCCTGGGGTCCTCCCTCTCCAATCTGCAGCAGCTCAACTCCTAGCTGGCATAAGTGGAGACTAGGGGCCAGATTTGTATTCTTCAGGTAATTATGGGCCTTCTCGACTGCTCTCCTGGCTTTGGTGAAGTGAGAGCTCCAGCAGAGACGACGGCAGTGTTCCACGGTGAGCTCCAAGAAGCAGAGGGCCCTCTGGGGAGAAAGAGCCCCAGAACTTCCTCCCTCACCCACCAAGACTTGGATCAAATGCCTAGAGAGCAGGTCTTCTAGGAAATCAGCATCTGATTCACTCAAACCATGCCCACTAGAATCAAATAGCTGATGGGCAGCTACTACTCGAGAGGCTGTTGGAGAAGCAAAATGGGGAACCTCACAAGGGGTACTCTGGTCTTCTAAGAGTACTAGGAAACTTAAGGCCTTCAGTCGAACTGAGACGGCAGCTCGCTGCTCCACCAGGGCTTCTGCCCCTTTCCAAAGCAGAGAAAAGCTGCCCTGAGTCACAGCAGTATAGTCCTGCGAAGCAGCTTGGTGAGAGCACTGTACTAGGCAGGAATGGAGGGGCTGGGCAAGACGCAGTGTGGCCTCTGGGCTACCCTGAGCAGCAACATTCCGCAAGAAGATAAAAAGGATTCGTTCTAAGTAGAGGGGAGAGCGCTGGGGAGTAGACACGATGTAGCCATGGCAGGCCAGTTCTGCCAGCTCTAGCAGGCTGTTCAGGTGTCCAGAGCAAGTCAGCTTGGCAGTCAGCTGCTGATTACAAGCCCTCAGGATGGCATCACAGACTTGTCTTCTTTCTGCATTATATCGGCAGCTAGGAGGATCAGCTGGAGGTTTGAACAGGAATTCCTAGGAGGTGGAGAAGGCGTGTTTGAGGCTATGGAATAAAGGGAAGGTAGGGAAAAGAACTGGCAACAGGACAGGTCAAGAAACGGTCCCGTGTTTCTCTCCTCAAGCAATGGGGGAGGGGGGGAGAAGTCAAGGTTAAATTTGTTAGTTAGGTCACGGTCCCGTGTTTCTCTCCTCAAGCAATGGGGGAGGGGGGGAGAAGTCAAGGTTAAATTTGTTAGGTCACGGTCCCTGTTTCTCTCCTCAAACAATGGGGGAGGGGGGGGTAGAAGTCAAGGTTAAATTTGTTTAGGTCACAACCTCTTCTAACTCCTTTCCTCATCTCGAAACCAGACCCAGGCCCTCCTTTCTATTATTCTGCAGCACACGGCTTCCACTCCTCTCTCAGCTGGGAAGGCTAGGAGTTTCCCACGCCAGGTAGCGTCCCACCTTCAACTCAGGCAACAACTCTTCAGCCTCCTCTTGGCTGCTCAGGAGAGTCCCAAAGTTGACTCCTTTAAAGTTCCTCATGGCGCCAGAGAGCTAAGGAGAAGGATTAGAGGAGGCACAGATTAGAATGGCGTTAAACAAAAAAAAAAAAAAAAGAATCGCGCTAAACAGAGAACGGGCGATTTACAGACCACGGAAGGAAGTGGTAAATAAATGGTAGAAGGGGAATAAAAACCCCCCAAAACACGCTTGCCAAGACACAAAGCTCCCACTATAAGCGAACACTACAGCTTTGCTTTTCTCCCAGTCGGTCTGGGCGCTCACTATGCCAACGTCCCACCCTGGCGGCCTCCACAGTGCTCTTGAGGGCCCACCAGGACTTCCCGGGGTCCCCGGGCCTTCCCCAGAGAGCGGCCTTCACCTGTCCTTTAACTTCAATGCATTGGAGAGACCACATTCACCTCTGCGTATACAGGTCCCGATCCCCTCAGGAATTTACCGCTCCCATCAATTCCTTCACCTAGTTCCACGACTAAACAGTTTTAGTACCTCTCCAAGACCCAAAATGTACTTTTAGCTTTCCGCGCCAGCCCCTCCTTTCAAATATTTCGACAACCAATCAACAAGAGCTGTGTAACGTAGGCGGGCCGCGAGGCATGCTGGGAGTTGTAGTTTACTGCAGCGCCTACTCGCCACGTGACATAAACCCACAGGCTGCTGCTGCTTTGGGCGTTAAAATTTTTCCTATCAAGATTGATCTCTGCACCTACCTGTCCGTAATTCGCTATCAGAAAAGTCAGCCCCGTGCTTCTTTCCCTTCTTTGTTTAGGGAGCTTAAACAAGAGTTTATTTACATTTCAAGAGAAGAAAATTAGACTAGACAACAAATAGAACGTCCTTCCTTACTAAGGAAAAAGGGCATAACTTTCAGTGAAATTATTTTTTCCCCTGAAATTCTTGTAAAGTAGCACTTTCCAGGGACATTGATAGGAATCTTTATTGGTCTAGAGTGGTAAGGAATTGTGCTGCTAATCCAAAGGCTAGCGATTTGAATACACCAGTTTGCGGGAGAAAGATGTTCGCTTTTCAGCCCCTGATAACCTATTGGAAGGTCAGCTATGAGTCGATTCCAACTCGACACATAACAACAACAATCATGGCGACGTCCAGCTCTTCTAGCTCCTTCTATCTGCCCTTTTAAGAAGACAGGAGCAATGTTCTTTAACATGGGGTGAGTATGTGGAGTGGAGGGACATTCATTCACTGGAAATTCTTAAGTCTCAATAGTGGCCCCTTCAAAGAGCTCTGGTGACCTAGTGGGTAAGGAGTGTGTTGACAATCTAAGGGCAAAGGTACATATCCAATACCTGCTGACCGGTGGCAATGGGAGATTTTTTCAGAGGAATGGTGGCCTAATGGGTAGGGAGTTTCACTGTTAACCCAAAGATGGAGAAATTTGGGCACTCTCTTCCTCTGATTTACAACCTCTAAAAACCTGCTGGAGGGTCCACTACAAGCCAAGTGGGTTCAACTGCTTGACAATGAGAGTTCCAATGGCTTACATATGTAAGTACTAATCACTTTATTTGTGATGTAAATCACAATTTAGAGCCTCTGAAAACCCAGTGGAGGGTCAGATACCAAGAGGGTTCGAACTCTCTCACAACACTATCACTTCCCTAAACAGAAATTCATCTTGTTATGTGCCATTGAGTCGCCTGTGATTCAAAACAGCTATGAAAGATTCATCTTACTCAGCTTTATTTTCCTTTCCTCAACAAAAAATTTCAGCTCAAACTTTTATTTGATTCCACTGGACAATTCTCCATCATCATCAACATTTTTAGAAGCTGGAATCTAACAGGGATGACAAGCATTTAAAACTGAAATGAAAACTCCAAAACAAAAATAATAACATCTCAGAAAAACCTCAGTGAAATAATAATTACATTATTATCACAGGTGTTAATTATGTGTTACAGACATGACAGCCATATCTCTTCTAGGGCACAGGACCCAACAGAGAGGAAATGCTCATAAATGTTTGGTGGATGAATACGTCAGTTCTCTCAGTACTCATTTCCTTTTCATTTTAGCAATCAATGATTATTTACAGGTGTAGCAAGTGTTCTCTGATCCCCTCCCCTCTTTTATTATTCTTAGCTGATTCCAAACTCCTTAAGGGAAAAGACTTCTTTCTTCTTCTACTACTACTTATAAGAAATAAGAAATTTTCTAAATATACAGAGATTGCTGATACACGAATGTGAATCCAACATATATAACTTTCTCTATGAGCTATGAGCTTATAAAGAGGCAGCACAGGGTAGTAGAGCAAACTTTGGATTGCTGCCTTGAATGGAACTCAGTTCAATTTGTTGCTTCTCTGAAAGAAATAACACCAAGTATTCTTATTTTCCAGGGATTCTGATAACCTTAAGCAAGAGAATACTCTTGAGATGCTTTCCAAAGGCCCTAACAGTGATATGCAGAAGACTCAACCACATGGGGTCACAAGGGTAGCATTTGTCCAAGGAAAAAAAACTCAGAAACTAAGAAGGGAAAGTATGGAGTGATCAAGGGAAGAATGGAAAGAAAAACCACAGAGAGATAGTAGGAAAAGTAATAATATAATGTAAGGATTTTAATCACTATCATAAAGAAATATATGTATGTATGGTTGAATAAAATACAAATCGGCCCTGTAAATCATAATGTTTTGTGCCATCGAGTCGCTTGCAACTCATTCTGACCGTATGTACAACAGCTCTGAACCCTGTTCTATTCTGACACAATTTATCATCTCTGACACATCTACCCAATAAAACCGATCACTCAGTCAATCTCTCTCATCAAGGGTCTTTCTCTCTTGTGCTGTCCCTCCACCCTCCCAAACCTGATGTTCCTCTCCAAGGACTGGTCCTTCCTTACAACATGTCCAAAGAATGTCAGACGAAGCTTCAGAGTCCAGTCCTTGTCTCCAAGGAGTAGCCTGGTTTCACCCTCTCTAGGACAAACCTCTTTTTTCCTCTAAGAGTCTATTTGATACTCTTCTCCAGCACCACAGCTCAACACAAAAGCATTAATGCGGCTTCTATTATCCCTAGTAATTGTCCAGCTTTTTGATGCATAGCAAGTAATTGCAAAGACCATGGCCTGGATGGGATGCATCTTAGTCTCCAGATTGACATTGCTGCTCTTCAGTACTCTAGAGCTATCACTGACAGTAGACTTTCCCAATGCAATTAATCTTTTGATTTCCTGGCTGCTGGTAACAAGAGTGTTGATTGTAGAGCCAAGCAAATGGAAACTCCTAACAATCTCAATCTCTTTACTGTCTATCATGATGCTGTCAATCAGCCCAGTGGTGAGAACCTTTGTTTTCTTAATGTTGAGCTTCAATCCATATTGAAGGCTGCAGTCCTTGACCTGCTGCAGCAAGCAATTCAGGTCCTCCTCACTTTCAGCAAGGAACATTGTAACATCTGCATAATGCAGATTGTTGATAAGTCTTCCTCCAATCCTGATGCCACCTTCCTGCTCATATAGCCCAACCTCCTGGATGATCTGTTCTGCATTCAAATTGAAAAGGTATGGGAGATAGGACACATCCCTGGCATACATCCTTCCCAATTTTGAACCATGCAGTGTTTCCTTACTCTGTTCTGACAACTTCCTCCTGGTCCAAGTATGTTGCTGTTATGTGCCGTCGAGTTGTTTGCGACTCATAGCGACCCTATGTACAAGAGCTCTAAACACTGTTCTATCCTGTGCCAACCTAGCCATCTCAAACGCACTTATTCCCACTGTTCCAGTCACAGAATTGATCCATCTCATTGAAGGTCTTCCTCTCCTTCGCCGCCCCTCCACTCTGCCAAACATGATGTCCCTCTCCAAGGACCAGTCCCTCCTTGCAACATGCCCAAAATATGTCAGACGAAGCTTCAGAATCCTTGACTCCAAGGAGCATTCCGGCTTCACCTTCTCCAGGACAAAACTGTTTGTTCTCCTAGCAGTCCAAGGTATATTCAACACTCTTCTCCAGCACCACAGCTCAAAGGCATCAATTCTCTATCAACCCTATTCACTGTCCAACTCTCTGATGCATAGCATGGAATTGCGAAGACGATAGCCTGGATCAGGCGCACCTTAGTCTCCAGCCTGACGTTGTTTCGCATAAGCAAAATCAAGTTTTCTGGGATCCTCAATCTTCTCAGAGATAGCCAGTTTGTTGTGATCCACACAGTCAAATGCGTTTGCATAGTCAATGAAACACAGACATTACTCTGGTACTCTCTGCTTTCAGCCAAGGTCCATCTAACATTAACTATAATAACCCTAGTACCTCAGCCTCTTCTAAACTCAGCCTGCACATCTGGTAGTTCTCTGCTGATACATTATTCCAATAAGTTTTGGATAATTTTCAGCAAAATCTTGCTTGCATGTGATATTTTTTATTATTTTTATTATTATTATTAATTTTAATGACAATTTACAGAGACTTTGGATTTCCATTCATTCATTGTTGCACTTTTCTCCTTCCCCTCCCCCCCCCAGTACACTCTTCTCTCTGAAAAGTAAAGGAAACATTCTTTCATTGTTTTACAATCCCTTCCCCCAGGTCCACTCCACTATGCAGCCTTCCTTCTGGACTCCTGTCATGACACTAATACCTAATCATCTATCCCTTTTAAACAGTTTTCTCCCTCAATGCAGTATACATTATTTATCCCATCTTTCTCAGTCTCCCCCCAGCCCCGATGTCAATCCTGTTTTACAACAGTGACACTATGCAGTATTTATTCTTTTGTGACTGAGATATTTCACTCAGCATAATGTTCTCCAGAGTCAACCATTTTGAATAATGTTACATGAGTTCCTTGTTTTTCAATGCAGCGTAGTATTCCAGTGTGTGAATATACCACAGCTTCTCTATCGTTTGTTGATTGGCACCTGGGTTGTTTCCAACTCCTTGCTATTGTGAATAAAGCCGTGATAAACATGGGTGTGCATATATCTGCTTGGATGTCAGTTATGGTCTCTTTGGGGTATATTCCTGGTAGAGGAATTGCTGGGTCAAA